GTAAAGAGGTAAAAGTACTAATAATATTCATTGCTAACATTTATTGAGTGGCTACTACATATCAGACATTATTTAAAGTCCGTTCCATGTACTAATCCATCTCATCTTCCCCCAAAACCCTGTGAGGAAGGTACTGTTATAATTCCCATGTGACAGAGGAAGCAACTAAGTCACTGAAAGGTCATATAGTTGCCCAGGGGAGGCCTCAGTGTCTTTACCACAGAAGTCATTCATCCACTAATGTCCCTCGTGACCTTATGACATGCAGGATGCACAGCGTTCCCCAAATGTTTTGGCTGTGACCTCTGCTTCCATGGGGGTAGGCGCAGGCACCAGGATGAAGTGACACCCTAGAAGAATGACAGACAGCTGGGACAAGCCTTCCTTCTGTTAACACAGCCTTTCTCCAGTTGGTCAGAGGCGATAAAGGAATGTCCACTCCCTAAACCACACTCCTGACCCAGCCCTGCTGGTCCTAGGATCGCCCTCAGGGGGCACCTCAGCAGCTGCCATCATCACAGCTCTGAGCGGACGGCCTCCATCCTGGGGCCACCACGGTAATGCCCTCGGCCTCACTCGCCACCTCATACCTGATTGGTGAGATTCTCAGTTGAGTAGAGTGGACGTATTATTTAAAAAATTAACACCCCCATGGACTCTCTTCTCTCTTGGTTCCCGCTAGGTGAGAATAATTCTGCAGATGCAACGACCCATCACAAAAGGGTCCCTGAGTGGCAGTGTACCAGGGAGTGTGACTGGCTGCAGGTCAAGCTGGAGTTTCCAACCAACTATCAGTCAGAAACATGTTGTTTTGCTCACTGTGGGTCTGATTCCTGCACCTGTGTCTTAGAACTTGAGGGGAAAGGAGAGAGGCCATGATTAATTACAGTCTCTCAGGAAACAGTTATTTTCTGACCGCCTGTTATGAAGCAAGTACAAAATATGTAGGTATCACATTCTCTCTCTCTCCCTCTCACCTCTCTCCACCAACATCCAACAGAACTAGCACTGCTCAGAACTCTGATATCCCTCCAAGCTAAAAACAGGAAAAGGGCCCTATGAGGAGCCAGAAGTTATAGCGTCTCTCCAATAGCGGCTTGCCCAGGCCTGGAGACCTTTCCCTCCCCAAGTGATGAACATCAAGCCACTGGACATGTGAACCGCCCAACTAGTTCCCACTCTGACTCAATCAGCAGCCATCAGGTGAGACTCTAGCTCCCTAAATTCATCAGCCCAGAGGGAAGACAGGCTTCAGCATCAGACGCGGGCCTTCTGGTCTACCCAATGGCTCCATTCTCTTTACCAATGAATTAACTGCTCTGCTGATTGTATGTCACTCTCTGTGTGCTTGGCTAACGAGAGTCCATTCCTAAGAGAATGAGCCGGTCTTGTGAATACCACCCATCAGGTATCTGAGGCTAAGGGGGTTCAACTGCTCCCAGGGCCCCTCACTGAGCTGCCAGACTTATCCAGACAACAAGCCAACTTACACACATCTTGCTTGAAATTTCAGCAATAAGCCTGAGGTGAAAAGGTGAATTTACAGAGTGACCCCTGCTCATCCTCCGTAAGTGCACCTGCCCAAGCCTGGCTCCATGGGGAGGGAAAAAGGCTGTGCAAGTTCCTTAACAAGAGAACGGATTGCATGTCCAATGAGTTACAATGGCAATTTAATGGCCGAGCCAGTTCCCTGTGGACACGATGGTCCTTATGACATAGGCCTAAGGCTGGAGGGAGACCACCACATGCTTAAAGATGAGACAGACCCAAAAACGCAAATGGAGCCATAGCTTTTGGGAAATCCTCGGGCGTTACCAAGGAAAAAGAGCACTTAGGTGGTGAATAACCCACCCTCAATTCTGGACCAGATTAGGGAGAAAGACTCTTTCAATTAGTTGATGAGGCCACCCAAAACTCTATTCCATATACTGCTAATTAAATCATGGTTGTCTTAGAGGGACTATATCACTCTTTTAAAAAAGGACGAGGGTATTTGAAATTTGATATCTGTAAAATTAGAGGTTGTCAACAATCTACTCTAAAGGTCCATTTTAAGTGTTTTGTTTTGTTTTGTTTTTATCCTGGAGGCATTTTTCCACAACGACAATGTGGTAATGAAGGTGAGGATCCCAGCGTAGCCCTCAGCAATCCATTCAACCCTGAAGACACTTGGGCCTAAATGTACATGTACTCTTTTCCTGACAGATGAGCTCACAGTTTCATAAATAATTTATTGCCAAAGGATAAAAATAAGTTTCATATCCTCAAACTATAAGGTTTATATTGTAAAGAACGCACTCTGAATTCCCACCTTGAATCTGGGAAACCGGCAGCTATCTCTATGGCCATCCCTCTAACACCCAGAGCCAAGGAATTCATAGATCAGAAAGGACTCTCTCTCTCTCCCCAACCTCTCCTGCCCCTGGTCCTCCAACTCCCCAGAAACCTGAGCCACCCCAGACTGGCCAGGACACCCCAAAGAACCTTGTCTGACAAGGGCACCCCAAGTCACCCCAGCCTGGCTGGAGAAAGCCAAGCCACCACAGCCTGGTCAGGACACATACTCAATGCAACAAACCAGCTGTGGATAAGGAGCAAATCTCAAGCTGAGTAGTAGGTGACATCACTTGAAAATAAGATAAAAGCTCTTGAAATGCACTCCCAAGTGCAATTTCTAATGAGGCTGCTTCATGGTGCCTGGGACATAGCCGGTGCTCACTAGTATTTGTCAAGTGAGAGATGAACTTCAATAAGCAAAACAGGGCATCCATACGTGCCCACACTTGAGGACCTTCACACGAATCTTCCACTGATGATGACTCACAGACAAGGTAGATGGCCTTGAATTACACGGTAAGAAACAGAGGGGTAAAGGACTGCTGCTTCACAGAGCAGCCAAATGTGCTTAATTCTCTCCACTCCAATCCATTTAAGGACTATCTCCACTTTGCCCTGAAGAGTCTCCTACCCGGCTTTGGCTCAGGGCACTCGGGCCGGGTCTTAGGAAAGGGAACTTTGGCTGCCATGCGAAACCATTCTGCACACTGTAGGTTCCATGTCCCCATTTGGAGGGCATCACTCCCAAAATGCTCCTATTCAGAAATGCATTTTATAGGGTAAGGGTTATTAAGTCAAAAGAAAGCTGGTGGTCTTCCTCCTTTCCCAGGCCTGAATTTCTGACTGCACCAAATCAAAGCTCTGTGTACGTAGAGTGTAGATTTCTCAGAAGGTGGTGGCATGGTCCACAGATCGCCTGCACTAGAGTCACACTTCTAGATGGGCAAATCCAGAGCCCATCCTAGATCCACTGTAAGAACACTTAAGAGGAGGAATTCTCTTCTGCTCTGAGAAGAGGCATATTTAGTAGGCTCCCCCAGGTAATTCCTCTGCACACTGAACTTTCAGAACTTGATAATGCAAAGAACCAGGGATTTGAAAGAAAATGGCCTGAGTTCATTTCCACCCCAGATACACGTACTAGTTCCATAAGCTGTCCTGAGCCTCCAATATTGAACTTTTTAAAATAGAGGAAAAAGACCTACTCATCACAGGGTTACTGGGTCAAATGAGAACTTGCTTGGAAGGGGTAAAGGGCCAGACAAATACTATTCATTCAAAACATGTAAGGAATAGAATGAATGGCTACAAAACCCAGGTACTGGGAAAACAAAGAAGAAAAGTAAAAAGTTGGAAAACCAACATATACATAACTCCATAGAATGAAATAAAGTCAGGGCCATAATGGCAATATCTGTCATGAAAAGGGTGATACGCCCACAGAGCAAACCAAGATCAATGATTAATTCCGCAGATGAGCCAACTCAGACTGGTAAGAGTTACAGACCAATCATAAATGAAGTAAGGCACGTTATTAAAAATAAAATCACCAATATGTTGAACCTGATCAAACAGACCATAAGAAATAAAAACTTCAAAACAAATGCAACTCTTTAAGATACTATGCAAGCCATATCTAGATTCCAATCCTGCATCCCTCTATGACATAGAAAAATAGCATGCATGGCGCACCTGTGATATGGCAGATGCCACACTGGAAGCTTAGCGTTGTTTTGGTAAATCCCTACAAAGACCTCATGACATTGGTGGGATGTTTCCTCTTATAGATGGCAAAATAACTCCAAGAGGCCAAGTTATAAGGGGTGAGCCTGAATTCACCTCCAGGTCCGGCGGACTCCCAGACCTGTGAGCATGGAGCGTACACCCGTTTGTTAAAATGTCCACATGCCAAGAGCTCATTTTTGTTTCAGAAAATCTTGTAATGGTCTGTTTGGTCGAAGGCTGCAAGACACTTCAGCCAAAGATAAATGTACTTTCTTCAGGCTGACCTGAGAACAATTTTAGTAGATTCATGACAGTTAAACTGTAGCCAAACTGCAGGAAGAAGCAGCATATGGTACCACCTCCTTTGTGAGATCTTGTCAAGTGATCGTTTTTCTATCTCCTTGTATTTCTGATTAATAATATCAGTAATAGCTAAAATGCACTCAGTGCTTACTCTCTGGTAAGCATTATGCTAACAGGTCTACATGGATTGCCTCATGAGGTAGGTGCTGTCAACTACCCCTATTTTAGAGATGAGAAACCAAGGCACAGAGAGATGAGGAAACATAACCAGAGCTGGGGTTGGAACTTGGTCCGCCGAAGCCCAGCGCTCTGATGCTCTCACCCCTGACTTGAGGTGACTTAATCAGGCTGCAAGGTTCACTACCTTGTAAGTGTGTCTGGACTCCAGACATAAAATTCCCTAAGTACACAAACTGATAGGACTGTTGCTAATAATCTAGCAAGTAAGTCTTACAATATTAGTTTAGCAAAAATACACAGCGGGGCTTTCCATCTAATTAATTTTCCGGGATCCTGTTTTTCTAATTCATCCGCCTACGTACGCATCACATGCCAAGTGTCTCCTATGTGCCAGGCACAGAGGTGATAAAGATGTGAAAGTCTGGCCCCTCCCACCCCAGCCAGTCACCCCTCACCTTCAGCTGTTTGACCTTCTCTTTTCAGCATCTGGACAGCTCCTACATATTTCTTCAGCTGGACTTTGAGCACCTCGTTTTCCCTGCAGGTACAAGAATGTTAAAAAAATATTTTTTTAAATTGGCAATTTAGACAGGGGGAGGGGGGAGAGTCTGTGTAAAGAAAAACACACAGTGTGTATCTTATAAATATTAATACATGTTCTAGATCATCACGGGGAAAGACGACACTAGCAAGGGCACGTTTGCAGAATGCCTTTAAGAACTTTTCTTTCGCGATGGAAATCAGCTCACCGGCTGAAGCGCCCACAAATTCAGGGCGCTGACATTTGCTGTGCTCACGGTATTTGACTCTGTCAGTCAGTTAGGTGCCCGTTCTGTGTCAGGCCCTCTGTATTGTTCTCTCATTTACAGGAGCACGAACCAGGTACTGTGTATTCAACCTGGGGAATCCTCTTAATATTTTTATTAACCACTACATGTATTGATTATTCGCCATTTACCAGGCATCACGTGACGTCTTTAGGGATCCCATTTAATCCTTCCAAGGGATTATCACAACACCCATTTTATAGATGAGGAAAGTGAGGCATAAGCAGGGGAAGCTAGCCAAGTCCACATCCACCCCCACGTAAGACTGTGCTGTGAAACATGAAACTCAGGCTATGACAACACCCACTCTACTGAATTTGCTCCCCAGGTACAGTGGCTGGCTAAGGCAAAGGACAGGAGGGCTGGGGGAGAACGCTACGATTTGTTCAGTGTTTATGACATAGCTCAGACCTCAAATACGTGACCTCATTGAATCGTGCATGCATTCATTCACTTATCCACTCTTCCTTCGGTGGGGAAGTGTTACCAAGTGACTTTAATGACCCTGTAGAATATTCCCCGTTTCACAGGAGAGGAATGGGGACACGGATAAGGTCTCTGACCCAGGTCACAAATAGGACACACTGCCAAGATCCAAACCACGTCTCTCAGTCCCAAGGGCCAGAGAGCTTTTCTTGGTCTCCCTCAGGATTTGGAGTTTCTCACCAGCTACCCCAGACAGAGGTGCCTCTTTCACATCTTCTACCTCTGCACCTCCCACACAGGTCTTAAGCCTGAGTGTCTTTAAACTTGCTAGGATATTTCATCACAGTGAAAAGAGCTTTAAGACTGGGTTTCTTTTATGATTATGAAAATAAATTTTAAAATAAAAATGCTCCTTGCAAAATACTCACACAATTAGTAGACATTTAAGAAGGAGTGTAATAATCAGCTGAAAATCCAACACCTTGAAATAAACCCAACATTTTTATAGCTATCTGATCTTACCTCTCTCTAGGCACGCACGCACACAAGCCCAAATATAATTTTTTGGATGAAACATCTTTTGCACTCCTTTAATTTTTTGTTTGAAGATTTTTTCCCCTTGTTTACTGTT